GGAAAAAGCAAATGCCACAATCCTTCAAAAACCCTTGGGAAATCAATGATTTTGGCCTTTTCGGGCCGTCCTGGAGGCCCTCTTGGAGGCCTCTTGGGACGTCTTGGGCCATCTTAGGGCCATGTTCGGCCGTCTTGGTGGGCTCCTGGTCCGTCGGAAGCCGTTTGGGGGCCTCTATGGGCCGACTTGGGGCTCTCTTGGGATGCTCCAGGGCCGTCTTGGAGGCCATCTTGGGAGTCTTAAAGGCCTCTTGTGCCGTCTTGGGGGCCTCTTGGGGCCGTCTTGGGGCCCTCTTGGGCCTTCATGGGGCCATCTTGGAGGCCTCTTGGGCGATCTTTCGGCGATCTTTAGGGGCTCTTGGGCCGTCTCGGGCAGTCGGAAGGCCAGAGAAGGAAAGGTCAAAATCCGTCAAAAACCATAGGAAAATCCACGTTTTGGGCCTATTCTGGCCTTCCTGGAGGCCCTCTTGGTGGCCTCTTGGGCCGTCTTGGGCCAGCTTCGAGCCAACTTCGGCCATCTTATTGGATTCCCGGCACGTCTGACGCCGTCGGGAGCCGTCTTGGGGGCCTTTCTGGGCCGACTGGGGGACCCTCTTGGGGCGCTTCGGGGCCGTCTTGGAGGCCATATTGGGCGTCTTGGAGGCCATCTTGGGCATGTTGGAGGCCTCTTGGGCCGTCTTGGGGCCCTCTTGGGGCCATCTTGGAGGCCACTTGGGCCGTCGTGGGGCCCTCTAGGGGGCCTCTTGGGCGATCTTGGGGGCCCCTTGAGCCGTCGGAATACCGAGAAGAAGCAAATTCCAAAATCCTTCAAAAACCTAGGGAAAATCAATGATTTTGGCCTCTTCGGGCCCTCCTGGAGGACTTCTTGGAGTTTGGCCTCTTCGGGCCCTCCTGGAGGACCTCTTGGAGGCCTCTTGGGCCGTTTGGGAGGCCTCTGGGGGGCCTCTGGGGCCGTCTTGGACTCTCTTGAGCCGTCTTGGAGGCCGTCTTGGACCATCTTGGGCGGACTTGGAGGCCATCTTGGGCCATCTTCGCGATTGTTTGAGGATGTCCCGAGCGAAACGGCCGTTTCAAAGAGGATGTTTCGTGGAGTTTGCGGTCCTGGAAGAGCCTCCCGGGACCCCGGCGGGACGGGCCGAAGCCCCAGGGGGAGTTCTTTTGGAAAAAGAACCAAAACCAAAACCGAAAGGATCCAGCACGCCAGGCACCCCTGCGATGAATCGACAGGGGGCGGCGGATCGAAGACGCCTACGGCGAATCACCGCCGCCCCCTGCCTTTTTGGAAGCGCCTATGTGGCCGAACGTTGAGGCCAGACCTGCCAAGCTATCGGACCACGTGTTCCCCGAATCGGTTTGGAAAGCCTTCGGGGAACACGTGGGCATCTTGAAGGTCATCTTGGCCGTCTTGGAGGCCTCTTGGGCAAGCTTTGGGCGATCTTTGGGGCTTTTTGGGCCGTCTCGGGCCAGCTTCGAGCCAACTTCGGCCATCTTGGTGGGTTCCTGGCACGTCTGAAGCCGTCGGAAGCCGTTTGGGGGGCCTCTATGGGCCGACTTGGGGCCCGCTTGGAATGCTCCAGGGCCGTCTTGGAGGCCATCTTGGGCGTCTTGGAGGCCATCTTGGGCGTGTTGGAGGCCTCTTGGGCCCTCTTGGGGCCCTCTAGGGGCCATCTTGGAGGCCACTTGGGCCATCATGGGGCTCTCTTGGGGGCCTCTTGGGCGATCTTGGGGGCTTCTTGGGCCGTCTTGAGCCGTCGGAGAGCCGAAAAGGCGCAAATGCCAAAATCCTTCAAAAACCAAGGGAAAATCAATGATTTTGCCTCTTCGGACTCTCCTGGAGGACCTCTTGGAGGCCTCTTGGGCCGTCTGGGAGGCCTCTGGGGGGCCTCTTGGGCCGTCTTGGGCCGTCTTGGACTCTCTTGGGCCGTTTTGGAGGCCGTCTTGGACCATCTCGGGCGGACTTGGAGGCCATCTTGGGCCATCTTCGCGATTTTTTGAGGATGTCCCGAGCGAAACGGCCGTTTTTGGGCATTGACAGATGGGTTTTATGAGATTTACGGGTGGCCGGCGGGACGGGCCGAAGCCCATTGGGGAGTTCTTTTAGAAAAAGAACCAAAACCAAAACCTGAATCATCCAGCACGCCGTGCACCCCTGTGGCAAGACCACAGGGGGCGGCGGATCGAAGACGCCTACGGCGAATCACCGCCGCCCCCTGCCTTTTTGGAAACGCCGATGTGGCCGAAAGTTGGACTAGAGCTTGGCCAAGCTATCGGACCATGAGTTCCCCGAGTCGGTTTGGAAAGCTTTCGGGGAACACATGGGAGAGAATGATTATGAACAGGAAGAGGAAGAGGAAGAAATAGAGTAGGAGGATGAGGGTTGTTAGGAGTCTCTTGGGGCACCCTTGGGGTCTGTTGGGGGCTTCTTGGGGGCCTCTTCGAGGCCTCTTGGAGGCATCTTGGGGGCCTCCTTGGGCCTCTTGGGGGCCTTTGGGGGCTTCCTGGGGGTCTCTTTGGCCGTCTTAGGGCGTTCCTGGTCCGTCTGACGCCGTCTGGAGCCGTCTTGGGGGCCTCTCTGGGCCGTCTTGGGGCCCTCTTGGGGCGCTTCAGGGCCGTCTTGGAGGCCATGTTGGGCGTCTTGGAGGCCTCTTGGGCCGTCTTGGGGCGCTCTTGGGGCCGTCTTGGGGGGCCCTTGGGCCGTCATAGGGCCTTCTTGGAGGCCTCTTGGGCGATCTTGGGGGCCTCTTGGGCCGTCGGAAGGCCGAAAAGAAGAAAACGCAAAAAACCTTCAAAAACCTAAGGAAAACCAATGATTTTGGCCTCTTCGGGCTCTCCTGGAGAACGTCTTGGAGGCCTCTTGGGCCATCTTGGAGGCATCTTGGGGCCATCTTGGCCGTCTTGGAGGGCATCTTGGGCCGTCTTGGAGGCATCTTGGAGCCATCTTAGCCGTCTTAGAGACCATCCTGGCCGTCTTAGAGGCATCTTGGAGGCCATCTTGGAACCGTCTGGGGCAGGAAATTGGGGAATTGAGCTCCTGGGCATCCTTTCCGGGTGGCCGGCGGGACGGGCCGAAGCCCACTGGAGAGTTCTTTTAGAAAAAGAACCAAAACCAAAACCTGAAACGTCCAGCACGCCGTGCACCCCTGCAAGCAGGGGGCGGCGGATCCTAGTGGCCTTTGGCCCATCCCGCCACCGTGCCTGGGTTGTAGGTCTGAGGTCTCCTGTATATGTGTTGGGGGGTCGTGGGGAGACTCTCGGGGGCCTCTTGGAGACAGTTTGCAGGCCTCTTGGGGGCCTCGTGGGGTATCTGTTGGGCCTTTGGGAGGCATCTTGGGCGCGTCTTGGGCGCCTCTTAGGGCCTCTTGGGGCCTCTTGAAGGCCTCCTAGGGGCTTTTCGGGGCACAAATATCGAATGTTCGGTTCGTGGTCCCCTGCTTGGGCCCCTCTTGGGGCCGTCTTGGGGTCCTCTTGGGGCATCTTGAGCGCTTCTTGGGCCATCTTGGAGCCCTCTTGGGCCGTCTTGGGGCCCTCTTGGAGGCGTCTTGGGGCAGTCTTGGGACCTTCTTGAGCATCTTGGAGCGTCGGAAATCCGAAAATGCGAGAAGGCCAAAATCTTGCAAAACTTTCGTAAAATCTCAATGTTGGCCTCTTGGGGCTCTCTCGGGAGGCCTCTTGGAGCACTCCTGGGGCCTCTTTAGGCCCTCTTGGGCCAGGCGCCTTGGAGCACTCCTGGCCTCGGCAACGCGAACACAGCATAAGTTGCGATGGTTTATGGCGTCGGGGACGCGAAGATTGCGTAATTTACCCGGGCGTCTTGCCTCGGGGACGCGAAAATTGCTTACTGTGCGAAGGTGTGTGTGTGGCCTCGGGGACGCGAATCTTGTGTAGTTCCCGAAAGGGTTCTGGCCTCGGAGGCGCGAATCTCATGTATTTTTGCGTGTCCCACGCCCCCCCCCCGGAATTCAGAGAGCGCGATCTGGGCATGGTAACCGGGTCCTCTGGGGCTCTTCCCCCCCCGCCCGCGCGGACTTACACAATCTACAGCAGGAAGCAGAAGGCAGGATTGTAACACTGGAGACTTGAAACTGCAACTGGCGCAGGGAGCAGCAACTTCGCCCTACAGCTTGGTGGCCCCACAAGGAGGCCGGCGGAGATCTCGGGCCTATGCCCTATGCCAGATAATTGCCGCTCTCACTTTCTAGCCTCATGCGTCTACGGGCACCTTGGGCGCCATTACGTGTATGTAAATGGATGCGTTTGTATATTTATAAATATAACAATAGATGAACATACGTGAATATAGATATATAGACACAACCGGTGTGGATGCGTCTATAGTCGCCGCGGCCGCTCCGTTCGGCACAGCACAAGGTCGGAAGAGGGGTAGATCCGTCTACGGTATGTTCCCGTTCTTGAGCAGTACCCACGTGGCACGTCGAAGTAGCAATCCATCGGCAGGTTTCAGGGAGCGCCCCACCTTCTATGACCGGAGAAGTTGGCATCTCTTCCTCGGCGGAAGCTGGTGGAAGTAGAACGAGGGCGGCTCCACTGGCGGAAGCCAGCCGAAGGCTGGCGAAAGCCAGCGGAAGCGAGATGCTTGCGGAAGGGCGCGGAAGAGTTGCAGCGGAGCCACAGCGAGGGCGGGATGATGGCGAGGATCAGAGAAGGAAAAGGCACAGACTCTGCTGCCCATGCCCCGGTTTCGCCTGTTTGGGCCTCCTGGTAGACCCTCGTCGCGACGGCTGGATTCGCTTCGAAATCTTTGTGAGAACGCATGCTGGGGGGTCCGGTAGCAATTCATAGGGAGCCCTGTATGTCCTCGGAATGCGGTCCATGGGGTGCGTTGGCGTGGCGGGGGTGGGTTGATGGCGAGGATCAAGCAGTGGCGAAGCGTCCTGGCCTGCCTATATGCCCACCAGGCATACTCTAAGAACATTGTGGTTTGCACGAAACGTTCTTAGAACATTTCTGGCGGAGGCAGTCTTCTATGAATAAATCGGCTTGATGTTCTGGGGACATGGTTTCCGTCATTTGGACACTCTGGTTCTAGGAACATGTCGTGTTAGACCCGTAGGAATGTTGGAACAATCGGTCCCTGCTCGAGAGGTGTTGCGGGGCCACGGCGGGGGCGGGATGATGGCGAGAAGCGAGCTGCGCGCGGTGCTAGGTCACTTGGCCGCCGTGGGCGACGTCGAGGGCGCTGTGGTCGAGCTCGGGTGCAACGCGGGCAGCACGTCCGTCCTCGTGCGGCGGCTTCTGGATCACCCGGGCATGCCGGCTCGGGAGTTTCACGTCTACGACTCGTGGGAGGGGTTGCCCGAGAAGCACCAGAAGGACGGGGAGTCCGATTGGTACGCGAGCGGCTCGCTGGCTTCCACGCAGGAGCAGCTGCAGCGCAAGTTCCGCCGTGCGAACCTGAAGCCTCCGAAGCAGCACAAGGGGTGGTTTTCGGATGCTGTCTATCCCGATCGGATTGCGTTTGCTTTCTTCGACGGAGATTTTTACCAGTCCATATTGGATAGTTTTCAGGCCGTGTATCCGCGTCTTGTGCCTGGTGCGCGAGTCGTCATTGACGACTACGGTGCGAGCAGGCTGCCAGGCTGCAAGTTGGCCTGCGATGAGTTCTTGGCTGACAAACCTGAAAAAGTAATACGAATCCTCGGCTACGGCATTGAACGGTTCAGATGGGAAAGTCAACCAGAGGGCGATTTTAGCACTGGAGGCGTGATGATCAAGCAGGCTGCGGAGCCCTGACAGTGCAAGTTGGCCGTCGGTGCTCCATGAGCGGATCGGCTCCATCCAGGCCATTGCTGGCGAGCCGGCAAAACTTGGCCACGATCCGTTCGAAGAGCGCGACGCATCGAGCCCACGCTGATCGACCATCGTCTTTGCCCAGATCGTTCCTCGGAGCCCCCGCTCAAGATCCCGTTGCACCCTGGCGCGTCCAATTCCTTCTTTGGCGATCCAGGGGCCCGCGGCTGGGCCTCCAGAAGGCCGAGCAGGGCCAGGAGAAGGACACGGAGGAGGTCGGGACGGGCACGCCGACGGTCGGGACGGGCACACCGACGCAGCGCTGGAAGAAGAAGAAGAAGAAGGGGAAGAAGCTGCACGACCTCGGCTTCAATTTCGAGGCGCTTTCCACCGGTGTGCAGGCGGCGCTGGCCTGCAGCGCGGACGATGCCGAGTTGAGCTCCTGGTGCTTTCTCGTGCTTGTGGAGCGGGCAGGCACGCCCCTCCGTGCCTCTTCGCCTGGCCACGTGGGACGCAGCGGCTTCGCACCATCATAAAATGCCTCTCCGACGGAAGAAGCAGAGAGCCTTGGGTGATCTGGTGTTCCCTGGTTCATCTGTTGCCGTACAGGAAACGCAAGGGAATGTTCATGATCTAGGAGGTCCCATACACCATAACAGTCGCGACTTCCGGTTCACCTCTTCCTTCGTGCCTCCGCCCTCCCCCCTACTTCGAGAACTGGAGGTGTCGCGACGTTCTTTCCCCAGTTTAGAAGGCCTGAGGTTCGGCAATGAACTGATATGTTTCCCCCCCTCGTTTCCACGGAAGCCTTGATCCATGAACGCGTGCTGATCTTTAAAAATTAAGTTCCAAAAGGTCGCTCGTGGGTCTTACAATTGTTAACGTTCATATTTGTAAGCATCAACATACAGCGCAGGAAAAACGTTTTGGTTTCTCGGCAGATTCAGTCGGAGGTGGTTTCTGCGTGAGTGGCTCCGCTGGAGCGCATAGTCTTCGTCGCCGAGGACTTTAACTTCCCCAACATTCCTGTTCATCCGCTCGTGCCTGTTCCTGTCGCCTTTGCGGTGGGTTATCCTTTTCTTCCCCTCGTGATTGGCGACATGCGCTAGTACCTCTGGAGGAATTCCAGCTAGAAGTTCCCACCCACTACCACCCTGGAAACAAGATGGCTTCGTTCATTGATCGGATATTCACGTCGGCCCCTGGGTTGGTCGTCAATCAGTACTCCGCGGGCGGCCGGGTCTCCCAGGACCCCGAGTTGCTCCTGGCCGAAGGTCTGTCCGACCAGTCCCTTGGTCTCGGTTTGCCTTCAGGTTCGGGAACAGGCTCCTCAGGACCAGCCTACTTTTCCCGAGGGAGCTTTCAAGTTTGTCGAGTTCGCGAAATACCTTCGGAGCGCCTGGACGCCCGCTCCCCCTACCCCACACATGGGCCAACCGATGGTCCAGGCGTACTACAAGACCTTGATGCGTGAAGCTGCGCGGGCACCCCGCAACAGCACTATTCTTCACAAGCTGAACAGCCTGCCGGCCAGATGCATCGTGGTCCGCAGCTGCGCCAGAGCGGTGCCCCAGTCGAACTTGAACCTTGTTTGCAAGCTGTTGCGCTCGCACTCCGTCGCCCGTGAACATTTGGTCGTACTGCACAAGGAGCGATCGGTGGCACTTCGGGGCTTCGGTGGCTTTACTATTGTATCGAATGGGCTACACTTTGAGCCGGGGGCGAAGAAGCGGGCGGAGCCCCAGTCGAACTTGAACCTTGTTTGCAAGCTGTTGCGCTCGCACTCCGTCGCCCGTGAACACTTGGTCGTACTGCACGAGGAGCGATCGGTAGCACTTCGGGGCTTCGGTGGCTTTACCATTGTATCGAATGGGCTACACTTTGAGCCGGGGGCGAAGAAGCGGGCGGAGACCAGGAAGCGGATGGAAGAGAAGGGTATCATCGTCGCGCGAAACTACAGAAACAGCAGAAGCGCGCCCAGAAGACCCAGCAGTTGTGGTCCCCGTTTGAAAAGCGTTTGTTTTTAGCTGGCATCCGTCTTGAGAGTGGCTCTGACGTGTCCGAACCCACTCACATGCTCCAGAAGTTTGGAGACCAATCGGGGAAGGCGTTCACTGCGAAGCCGTTCCCGCGCGCCCACTCAGCAGCTGCTGCAGTCGAACGCTCCCAATATGCCGAATCTCGGCCTTCTGCCCCGGCGCACGGCCACCTTCCCCACGAGGCGTGAAGGGTTGCCCCACAAGGGACCGACATCCTTTTCGACGCCATGCGGTGGATGCTCGAAGGCTTCTCGTTCGGATACGACTTTAAACACGCCCCGGGCGCCTTTGCTCCCAAGGGTTCCGAAGACGGCGACGACAGCGTGGCCGTCGGGCTAGCCGCCAACACGAAACCCGTGGGCTTCAAAAGCATTACCAACAAAGTCATCATTGCAGCGCACTTCTACACCCCCAACAGGATCGCCCCCCAGAGCTTTGACGATACTCAGATGGACTCCGTATTGGGCAGGAACTTCGGGGTCAACACTGTTGATCTAGAACGTGGAGACCCGCCGCTTTAGCATGGACGACCCGTCTCTCTTGCCCGCGCTGGTCGGCAAAGACTTCAGGCATGCAGCCAACAATGGATGATGATGGCCATCGCTTCTCCGCCGATTCCGCGCGCCTTGACGGGCTTGTCTAAGGTCCTGTATCAGGATGTCACTTGCTGTGGGAAGCTCGAAAACCGCATCTATTCCCAATTCGCAATTACCGGTGGAAAAATTTCACAGGCGCTCCAGCTTGGGCCTCCTCTTCGCCCTCGGGGTGGACCCTTTCACGCAGAAATACCGCGCCGAGCTCGACGCCCCCCCCCTCCCCCCCCCTCGCGGCGCGGCATCGCACGCGCGCGCAGATGACGCGGACGCGGCCCCCGGACGTCTGGCCCATCTTGCCCGCGCGCACTCCGTCTTCAGGCGGCGTGCGTCACCGCGCACTTGCGCGCGAAGAGTTCGAAGCGCGCGATCGCCCGAGTGGGAGCCCAGCTCGGCCCTCGCCTTCTTCGGAGAGTTCGCCCCTGGCTTCTGGAGACGATTCCGGCTTGGACAGACGCTGTCGCGAGCGATCGGCGCATCTTGGGGCGACCCCAGGGCCCGCGGCGAAGGGGGTCGACGCCGGGGCCAAGCCGGCGAAACATAACAAATTTGAGTCGCAGTCTCTCGGTTGAGGACGTCGGCGGAGCGGCGGAAGTGATTGCTGGGCTGCCGAGATCTCGCGCGCTCAGCGCGGCACCCTTCGCTGCGCAAGTCCAGCCCCCCCCCCGCTCGGCTTCGCCATGACGGCCATCGAGTTGTTCATTTTTCCATAAAGGAAAAACTGCGCCTGTTCAATACGCAGTTCAGCGCCCCAGCTAATAGAAACTGGCGCAACCTCGAGAATCGGGGCGGGCCTCGGGCGCGAAGCATTCAAACGATGCGCCTTGCAGCTCCGATGCGAGCTGCGATGTGCGCGCTCACTTCTCGGCGCGCGGGCGTCGGCGCCCGCTTCGCCGACGCGGGGCGCGCGTTCCCGTTGGTCCGCTCGGCGAAGAACGAGCCTTTGCCCGAGCGCTGGACGAGCCCCCCGTTCGCCTTCAACCTCCTCGACGCCTCTCTGGGGTTCCCAGAGCACGATCCTCCTTCAGGACGGCGGCCGCAAGGCCCTCGAGGCGACCCAGAAGCGCAGGACGAGAACCCCATCGAAGCCCCTGATGGTCCAGCCCCAGCGGGCGATCTCCGCAGAGCCCCACGCGGCCACGCATCCTGATTAGTTCGCCCAGACCTCCCAGAAACGCGTCCTCCACCTGCGCCCAGATGTCCGTGGTTTGATTATCTCGATGGATTGAGAAGATGCGAGGCTTGCCATCTGCCCCCCCCCCCCCCCCCCCCCATGCCCGGAGGTTCGCCGCCCTCTAGACTCTAGACCTCGGCGAGGCAATTGGCGCGCCGCCCGCAATTGGCGCGCCGCCCGCAGATGCCAGGAACACGCCGGCCGCCTGTTCGAGTGCTCGGGGGCCGCTGACTCGTTCAAGCACTTCTGGTCGTGCCCCGTTTTCTGTTTGGCTTCTGGAGCCCCTGTTCGGGCCCCCGCTCGACGGCGAGCCCGTCGCGAGACTCGAGCCCCTGGGCCCTCGACCCGAGCGCTTCTGCCCCGTCGCCCTGGCTTCTTATTTATTCGGCGAAATTAAAGCATTGCTCAACAAAAATACAGGGGGGGGGCGGGGGGGCAGCTGCACGGGAGGGAGGCCCGACGGGCGCCGGCGACCGCCCGGCACCAGGTTGGGCGCCCCACGGCATCGAGGCGATGATCACAGGACTCCGCGGCGACGCTCGAGGAGGACAAGGAGGAGGCCCGCTGCAATTTTCGCGGCAGCTTACCTGAACAAGAGGGCGTTCCGGGGCAAAGACCAGGCGGGCGCGCTTCGTTTTCTTTTGTCTCCCCGCCGCGCTCCGGGGCCACAGCTCGCCCCCATTCTCAGTCGGCCGCGCCCCCCCCGATGCCCGGAGGACCCGCCGCCGCGCCAGCTTCCTCCGACGCCGCGCCGCCCGATCAAAGGGCCCCAAACTTCGACGGCAAAGGGGCGGAACGCAGCGGCAAAGGCATGGACGTCAACGGCCACCGCGTCATCGAATCCCAGGTCGGCGCGCTCGCGGACGACAACGGCTTCTTCCCCTCGGGCGACCATCCTGCCCCCGCTGCCGAAGACATTCGTCGCCCCGAGGCAATTGTCAGCGAAGCCAAGTCCGAGCACATGGGGGGCGTGGCCAGGGGGCAGGCGGCCATGTCCGCCCTGCAGGGCTCCGTCAAGTCCAGCTTCGACCCCCTCTGCAACCCAGTCGAGCAGCGCCGCGCTCGGCAGGGGGGCCCCGCCGCCACGCTCGACAAGAGGGCGGGCATCACGGCAACGGAGATGGTCGAGCTCAAGCATGCTCTCGACGCCGCGCAGACCGTCGACCCCGGACCGAAGATCGACCCGCGCGCGCGCTGGCAGCCCGCTCCGAGGACGAAAGCTCGCCGCGGATTCGCCGCGAGCCCATCGCGAAACAATTCCGTGAGAGCACGGCTGAGGGCGGGCCGACCACCAAGTTCTGCCCAGGCAAATGGTCAGGAGTCATCAGTGCCGACTGGAAGCCACAGTTGCGCGCCGCCCCGATGCAGGATGGGCGCCGCCAGCGGAGTTTGAGGCGGAGCTCGCGCGGCGAACTCGAGAGGCTGGGTCTCCGCAGTAGAGGGTTCGAGCTAACTGGGGGTTGGGCTTCTCGCGGGCTTGCACTCGGCATTTGAAATGCGCGCGAGTTCTCTTTCATCGCGAAGCCCGCGCGCGGACCCGGAAAGAGAACGGCCCGCGGGAAATGTTTCGACGGTTCCGGGCTCTTGCTGCCGAAGAGGCTCACAGCAGTGATTTTGATGTTTCGGGTTTCCCGCGCTTCTCGGGGACTAAGTTCTCGACTTTCTCATCCGCCCCGCCCCCGCCCCCTTCCTCCGAATGAGGGGTCCAGCATCAATGGCGGGGTTGCCAC